AGCCTTCTCCTTGTCTGTTGATACTAGGTCACCATTCTTGTCCATTGGGGGGGGTACGCATTCTTTAACCTTCCTTTTCTGGTTGACATACCTATAGAAGCCCTTCTTGTTATTCTTTACCTCCCTTGCCAAATTCAGTTCCAGCTGCGCCTTGGCTTTCTTGACCCCCTCCCTACAAAACTGGGTAGCTTCCCTGTACTCTTCCCAGGACACCTGTCCCTGCTTCCACTGCCTGTGCAGTTCCCTTTGCTCTCTAGTTTGACCAGCAGGTCTCTACTCAGCCATGCTGGTCTCTTCCCTTCCTTGTCTGGTTTCTTACACCTGGGGACTGAGAGCTCTTGCACTCTCTGGAAGGTGTCTTAAAGATCTGCCAGCTCTGTTCTGTTCCCCTGTCACTGAGCATTGTTTCCCAGGGGGTCCTTCTGACTAACTCCTTGAAGAGCTTGGAAGTTTCCTTTCCTAAAATGTAGGGTCCTGACTGTACTCCTCGCTTTTCCTTTATCTGTCAGGAGTGTGAACTCCACATTCAGAAAATTAATCTATTCACACAGAAAAGAATCTATTTTCTATTCACACACAGATATAGAATCTATTCTGCTTCTGCAGTGTTAAGTGTCTCTGGAGTGTATTTCTATTTTGATGAGATGTCATTCATCTAACATGAAAATGAAGTGGTACCTCTGTGTGTCCTTTCACCATATTTTGCACCCCGTTCTTCTAGAAGGAATCCCAAAGCAGTGACATAGGAACACCCCACTAAAATGTAGCAATTCCTAGTGCAGGATGACAGCAATTAACCAGTTATACGTGCAGTGTTAGACACATAGGAACCATGAACAGAGGCCAGGAGCAGCCTCCAATCCTGGCTGTGGCAAGTGTACACTGCTGTATGACCAGCACTGCTATTCCACCAGCCTGATAGATCTTGGACTGTGGGAAAGTCCCCAGGACAAGCCTGTCTCAAGTCACAGAAGGTGGTTGGAAACCAGTGAAATTGCACCAGAGCCACCGGTACAGCTGGCTACAACGCAAGGTGCTCACAGCCGTGAGACGCAGAGGAACAGTTGAAAGGGCAGTCAGATGTTCTCAAACAGAGACCCACCACAACAGCTGCTGTGTTGCAAAACTGAAAGGCCAGCCCTCAGACTGCTGGAACTCAGCAAACAGCAATAATAAAGCACAGTGTGACTGAGTGGGAAGATGGATGTAAGAACAAACCAGCAGGGTTGCGTGGCCTTGCACCCACATCAAAATTCCATTTTTGAACAAAGAGTACATTTCTCTAAGGTCCCAAGTTTCAGGCTCAAAACTGTTTGAAATGCTTTGAAACACCTTTTGAGAGGTGGACTTACTGTAACCAAAATCCTCCCCCCCAAATCCTAGCACCAGACTATCTGTTCATTATTTATTATTGACCATTCAATAGTTTTTAGCAGCTACTCAAAGACTGAAAACTCAGTTCCTCCCCACTCTTGCACCCAGGAGAAAGAAAATAACTTATTTAGTTAAAACACTTTTTTTTTTTTTTTTAAACAGAGAATAGAAATTTCTTCCAGAGCTGGGGGAGGGGAAAACAGCAAAGAAATAATTGTTTTTCTTTATTAACCATAGAAACAGAACTACTTTCCTGAGTCACTAGTTACAGTTCCCTATTAGGTGAGATATCACATCATGTTGTCCCCTCCATAAAACCGTCACAGCCTCACTTTACAAATAGCAAGGCTTCTTCCCCCTCTGCCTCTATTGAAGCTCTTTAAGCAGCACCTCCTGTTTCTAATGGTTAGAAATTTTCCTGCTACTCCCAGCTTCCATTTATTCACAACCTCTCTTAAATGGATCCTTTGGAACCCACTCTTCACTCCCCTCCCAGCCTTCATCTTGATGGGTCAAGTCAGCCATCACCTTTTAGGTTTCTTTAGCAAAAGAGGTGCTCTGTTCTGAGCATCTTCACTACACTTCTGTACACCTCTTCTAAATGAGTCCAACTTTTTAGGGGCAGAGTTGTATGTAGCACTCCGCAGTAATCAAAGCCATGGAGATGGTCTTCATTTCGCTCATCATCTCTTCTAGAAATAGCTCACCCAAAATATTTCAGAGGTAACTAATAGAACTAGGATTGAGGAGATAGAGAAATTAAAGAAGTTGTATTTCTCATGTTTTGTACATTGGATGCAATTACAAGATTTGTGTAAACATGATCCTGGTACCACTAAGAGAAATTGAATAAAGTTTTCTTTTAACAGAGCACAAGCAGAAGAGAGATATGGGAAAGAACTGATTCAAATTGCCCGAAAAGCAGGAGGACAAACAGAAATCAAGTAAGGAATTCTTTTATTATTAGTGCAAAGGAAAGCATTTTGGAAGCAATATCACACTCCTGTATTTTGCCTATGAATGGGGTCATAAGCTGCTCACTTCAGTGTGTTACACAGCACTTCATGATGTACAGGAAAAATAGGGAACACCATAGTCCTTCAAAGCAGGGTTCACAAAATGTCTATTTGGGAATTGCCAGTAGGTCTTTGCTGAGAATTTTTTTTAATTTTAGGATTCCCAACAACGTTTAATATTTTCTTCCAAAAGTAAACTAAATGATGGGGAAAAAAACAGAAAGGAAAAGGTTGTGAAATGTTTAGGATGGTGGCTTGGCAATTCTAGGCAGCAGATGGACACTAAGAGACTGCGACAGATCAAACACAAAGTGCAAAGACACCAAAAATTAACTTCTGCAGCAGGAGGAAGGCTTAGCTTGGGAATACAAACTTTAAACCTTTGAGGGGACTTCATTTGAAACAAATCAATGGAACTACTGAAATACACTAAAATGACATATTTTTCTCTGTGTCCTCTATTACTATCTTAGATCACGTATGAATTATGTTGGGAGGGGACGATATATGTTGGCATGGAATTTAACTTAATAAACACTGCTGATAAACTGCTGCTATTATTGATGGTAGCAGCAATAATAAGACATTTTGTCATTATTGCAACAAGTAATAATACAGTAATAAGGTGGCAGAGGATGAAGATTTGGGGTCACAGAAGACAAGTCTGAAAGAGAAGACTTCAATCTAAACACAAAACAGCTCTATTGATCCCTGGGGCCTGCTACCCTCATCCACACCATATCTCATTTCTTAATTGCAGTCTCCTTTTTACAACAATTTATCACTCTCAGTGTGAGTGTGGTTTTCTGTTCATATTTTTATCGGAAAATTTGACCTCAAACCCTTGCACCACCATGACACGCAAGTGCCAGGAAATCACCCGTAGCACTTGCTATCAATTTGGAGGTAGCACATCCAGGCTGACAGGGAAACTGTTGCATTAACCCAGGCACCTGATAGTGTGGAGAGCGCTGAGGCTCACTCCAGAGAACGTGCAAGCCTCTCCTCCCCTAGTGCTCCATCTCTCCCTTGCCCCTGAGCAATCCAGTAATGTATAACAAGGTTTCTAGCAAAGGCTGCTGGAGATGACTTCTACCTTCCTGGTGTCTTAATTCACAGACCTAACTGGAAAAAAGAAAGGAGAAGAAAAATTATTTTGAAATTAAAATAGTAGATTATGGATGGATGGCTTCTTCCCAAACCAAAGGCTAAGATCAGTGTTCCGGGATTAATGAAAGGCTCCACCTAAACTTCCTAACTGGCAAGGCAGGGCAGGCAGAGCAAATGTGTTCAGAAAACAGCCAGCTTTGGCTGCCCTTCTGTGACTTAGTGGATAATTCATGGGTCTGACTTTTCCTAAGAGATTATAAGAGCTTGATTTAGAGACAGAGCCAAGTCCCAGAGTTGGGATATGGATCCAAGTTCCCCTCAAGTTGGGGGAAGTTTGGACTCGGGCCCAGCTCCACTTTGATCCAGCAATTTTATAGCCTGGCATAGAGAGAAGGCTGAATATACCAACAAAGTGTGCTGCAGAACTGATTTACTATGTTTCCATAAACCCATGCCTGGTCTGGGTAACGACTGGCTTTGCGCTGACATTTTTATCAGAGCAAATGTCTCACTGTAACTATTCTGAAGCAGAGAGAGTACACTTTGCTTTCTGTCATTCTGCATCCTCTGGTTGTTTAAGGAGTTACACAGATGGGCAGTGAAGGGCATTTGTCCAGAGTAAACACTTTAAAATGAGAGAAAACTAGGGTCTATTCAGGACCGGAACAACTCATGAAAATGAAATATTTCATTTTAATGCCTTAAAATTTTTGACACGGTGTGAAGTTTCTGTTTGTTTATATAACATTGATTGCTGACAGCAGTTCTGCTCCCAAGGTCAGTCTGTCAGAGAGACTGGAGTGAGGGAACATATGTACTACCTATAACAAGAAAACCTTGAAGGGACTACACTACAACTACCCCCATACATTACTCCAAGTGCTTCCTCTTTATAGGACTCCCTATTATCGACTAGCACACTGAGTCCTAATTGTATTACAAGTACTTGACGGGCAGAACAGGGTTGTTCACATCTTTAAATGCAGCTTTGGGTAGCAGTATTTCTCAAATAAAGTCTAATGAAGGCATTGTGCAGGTATTTGTACCTAAAACTTGCATTTGACAATCACCAGGAAAAAAAGTAACTTCCTTTTTTTTTTGCAGAATATTTTACAGAACTTTCTATGCCATGCTATGTATTGCAGAGGAGCAGGAATTACTAATTTTAGATTATACATTCATTTTCTTGCTAATGCAAAATTATTATCCTTTAGTCTTAAATTCAGACATCTTTTAAACATCTCAGATACTAAGGCTTTCTGTCACTTCTCCTGGGAAATTATTTCACACCCCAGCAGTTCTCAGTATCAGGAAGGTACCTAATACCCTTTCAAAAAGTCGATAAAAGGAACAGCAAATCTATCTGCAACAGCCACCCAAAAACTACCAGTATCAGAAAATACCCAGAAGAACTCAAGAGAAACACCTGCAAGGCCAATTAATTCTGTTTAGCACAACTTCCGAAACTAATGAATTGCCTGCAAAAACCTCCCATCACTCCACCAGGTCGAAGCAGCTCAAGGCTGGAGCAAGCAGCAGTTCCCATGCAGGGGCCTGTTGGCAAAGCGTCCGTGGCAAACCCACACCACCAGCCAACGCCAAAGCTGCTGATCTGGAAACACCACCATTACACGTGATGGGCAGCCCAGCAGGGCCTCATGTGCTTATATCCTCCTAGTACCGGTGTGAACAGGTCTTTCCAACTCCAGAAATGGTGCCCCTGGCAGCTGCCTGGCTCTTCTAATCTCAAACCCTTGGAGGTTAAAAAATATAGAGGAAAAAAAAAAACCACCCAACCACCTTTCTGTTGCTTCCTGTGCTTGGAGAGAAGAGGGTCTGCTCAAGGGAGAAATTAGGCAGCGGTGGGGAGTCGCTGCCCAGGTTGTTACTTCAGCACAGTCAGGACTAGCATGAAACAAGGTGAACAGAATAAGCACGATGAGTAAATACAAGCAAACAGGGAGAAGCCTGGAGAAGTCAGTGGGCTACTGCACCAGGAAGTGGCCATCACTGTAGAAAATAGTTCTCTCCAAAGCCTTCCCCGTATTTTAGAAGTTTTTAGCTTTGATTCAAATAAAAGAACAATTTCAACATTTTTTCAGGCTCTTCCCTTCTCCCCTAAACTTTTGCTTCAGCTGGAACGAATTGCTGGACTCAGCTAAATTTATAAATAGATTCAACTGCCCATTTTTATTTACTGAAAGACACAGATGAAGAAATACACTGCTGCTCGAAAGATAG